GCGGTCCGCCATCCAACCTCTGTATCCGAATTCTTGGTTTGAGAGAATGTTTGTATACCAAATCACTGTTTCTTTCCACTCCTCCGGTTCCCGACTAACGTTCATCATGGACTCCCTCTTCCTTCCATCACTCCTTGAACTTCCCTTTTTTTTCTAATGCCAACTCCACAGCCTACATCGTCTAAACCGCATCCTGGTATCCTCAAAACTGTCCTAAAATCTGTGGCGCACCATGTGAAGAGCCATGTCGGAGTTGGTATAGTATGCGCTGTGGCCTATTTTGATCCGTACGCGTTTAAATGCCTCACACAAACTCTCACTCACCATAACTCTGTATAACATAGAGGGAATTGGAGGTAACTTTTGTTTCTTCTCTCTCTCTCTCTCTTGCGTCGCCTATAGCTGAACCTTGTCAGTGTTGACCTCCAAGCAGGTGCCAATTTTGGCTACCGACCGATGTTGTTCGTGCTTCTTCTTTCTGGACTAGGCGCCATGGTATTGCAGGTAATTTACGGTAGTGTCCCATTCTTATATTGCCCTGACTTCATCCATTCTTAGACTTTAGCATGCAAGCTGGGATGTGTTACAGGAATAGGTGAGATTCCAGCTCAATGGATCTGCTAGTATTCGTACTATGTGTCCCTGGAAGATTTGGCTTCTCACTGTCGACTACTCCTTCATGACCATCCCACGCACCCTCGTTTCGTGCGACGTATGATCATGTATCCTCTATATATATGCGCAGAGATTGCCATTATTTCAACAGACCTGGCAGAAGTTCTCGGATCTGCGATCGGGATTTGCTTGATTTTCCCGACCCTTCCGCTGTGGACGGGAGTTGTCTTAACGGCTCTAGATGTTTTTGTCTTTCTTCTGTTTTCGGATCCGTCCAGGGGACAAAACAAACCAGTCAGAACGTTTGAACTGATAATAATGACACTGGTTAGTGACTTTCAACTGCGAGGTATTTGAAGGGTTCATTGTACTGCTAGGTGTTTGCTGTCTTTGCCTGTTTCATTGTCCTACTGCTACGGGTACATCCGCATTGGACCAGTGTCTTCATGGGATACATTCCGGACAAAAACTTATTTCAAACCCATCCAAATGCTCTTTATTCCGGTATGGAGGTTACAGTTTCTTGAGATGAACTGATGATACAATGATGTAGCCGTTGGAATACTTGGTGCGACTATTATGCCACACGCGCTTTTCTTGGGGTCCTTTCTTGCCACCCAAAATCGCGAGGCCTTTCACACCTCAACACCTGTGGGCCTTCCGGAACCCACACATCGTAAGAGACTTACAAGGAATATCAAGACATATGCCATGAATCTTTTCCGTATTACTCCTGCGGAGCGGCAGCAAGCCGCCAAGGACTATAGGTCTAGATATGGTGTTCGGGAAAACAATTCGTTCTCCTTTGTGAAGCAACATCTTAATCATATTGTCATCGACGTGTGCTCCAGTATTCTTGTCCTCGCTGTTCCCATTAATTCTGCGTGAGTGAATATCTTTTGAACGTTGGAATCTATTGCACTAACCCGGGACTAGAATTCTTATTCTTTCTGCTACCGTCTTCTTCGACCAATTATCATCAAAGAGCATGCAAGGGGTGACCATTGGTTTGTTTGACGCGCATGCTCTTATACATGCACGTATCGGATCAGGTCATTTTTCGACGCCATGCGCAGCATCTCGTTACTAATATTCGTTCAGGCTCGGCTTTCCTGTTCGCGCTGGCACTTGTGGCCGCAGGACAATCCTCTAGTATCACTGCAACGCTTGCCGGACAGGTGGTTGGGGAAGGTTTTATCGAATGGAGAATCTCAGTACGCTCCATTCATTATTTCAGCTTAGCTCGAAACTTATCCGGAGCTTTCAAGCCATTTTTAAGGAGGCTTTTGACACGTTCAATCTCCCTTATCCCTTCAGTCGTAGTGGCTGTCGCCGTCGGACGCAACGGCATCGATAATCTGCTTGTCATCTCGCAGGTTGTTCTGTCCGTAGTGCTTCCTTTCGTGGCATTTCCTCTGATCTACCTGACATCTTCCAAGGTGGTGATGAGAGTGCGGAAGCCTCCACCACCTCCGTCAACTGTGCAGACGATGAATTTCGAGAGCACATCCGTTCCTGCGAGTGAAATCGCTGCGGTCACTTCGGAACCCTCGCTTCATAGTAGCATACAGGAAGTGGACATCATAAATCTATCCCGCAACCCGAGTAGGATGCCGACGCAAAAGTCTGAAATTGAGGTGATTTCCGATGCTATTTCTATCAATAATATAGAATACATCGACTACAGCAACAGTCGACTCATGTCTACGTGTGCGTACTTGATATGGGCTGTGATACTGATCACGAATGTATATACCATGGTCGCGCTCGGGCTTGGGGATACGTGATGTGGGGATGTTTCTTGTATGTATATATCTGTGTATTCTAGACATAGATATCTATGTTGTAATTGTAATTTGTTCCTTCCTTCCTTGCGCAAAAAGACTCTGTTGAACTCGTTGTTCTTTCGTGGTAAGTAAGGCAACGGCCACCCAGAAGCCTTCGATAGTTGCTTTACTGTCAATATGTAAAACCTAGGACTTGGCCTGGTAAATCTGATCGAACGCATGTTAATGGCACGTCCCCCTTGTGATTTTGGCTTTACCCAACAATTGGAAGCTTTTTTTCAATCCCTAATTTTAGAAGTTGATGTCCATCTTCATACAGGACGAATGGTAGCGAACGGTTTGATCAAAGAACCTGGATTGAATTCAAGGATAATGTCAGTTGACATGTGTCATTTATTGGTACCATTGAATCGAGTTTCCAGTTGGTCATAGAAAGAAATTTCATTGGTTCGGTACCTAGCCAATAGGAAACATCTATAGTTAGGCCTTCAGTTCCTCATTGGAGGGCTACGTAGTACGCATGAAATGTGTTGCTAAGTGTTACGAAACACGCCAGAAATAGAAGGATATAATCCAGTCTGTACGTACGATACTGAACAACGAGTACCCTCAGAAAACACCCCAATGATTTCCACGCAAAACAAGTATTTCAGATCCATTATTGATACAATGACAATAGACATGAAATTACTGGGACAAAGGAGGCAAGCCACTGCAAAAGAATAAAAAAAGATACAAGGCTACAAGGGTTACATGACGGTTAAACAAGAAAATCTAAGTTACGTTCGGATATATAATGAAGGGGGTTATTTCAGCTCGAGATCGCGATCGTCGCTGGGCCCAGGAAGAGAAGTAAGTAAGACTAAACCATCAGTCTAAAAATCACCTCCTAGACGGTACGATGCACGATACAACGAATGACGCTCGGCGTGCCCAGTCTCGTTATGTATACATACGTTCACGACATCAAGCAAATTGCGCATAAGAGAAGCCACGGAATACTTTGCAGGACGGGCTTGCCAAACGAGGGTGGGTAATCGGCCGGGAAAGCTGAGATATGTGTCAATACTGGTGAAGATACTAGTGAAAAAATTCTAGAAACTGACGTACGCGGGGAGAAAATGCTGAAAGTAATGATATAGATAACAGTTACTTGACTTTGTCGCCACAGTCGCATGTGGTGCGACCAGCAACGGAACTCTTCCCGCAGCTATCGCACCAGCTGCGTCTTCCCTTGTCCACTCCGATCGACTTCTTCGAGGTTGCGGAGTGAGCGGAAGAGCACACCGATTCATCGCGGTGAATGCTGATTAGATGACGACCGAGATCATGCTTGCGGCTAAAGGAACGCCCGCAAGCGCGGTGAGGACAGACATGGGGCTTCAACCTATTAGGGTCGTGAGTGGCCATGTGCGTTTTCAGGTTGTAGGCTCGGGCAAAAGCTATGAAGAAAAATCAATGATAGTATGGAAGAGGTAGAGCAAAACAGACATACCGCGAGGACAGACATCACATTTGTATTTTTTGCGAGGATCTCCTTTGTACTCGTCCTCTGAAGGGACTAGAGGTATAGAAGGGACGAGTGGTAGCTGGGCGGTTACAGGTCCAGGAGACACTGTCACACCATAATTTGTCAATTGATTATAATAATCATTGGACATTGAGCTACGAGTAGGACCGTAGTCAGAGAAGCTACTTCGAGGAACGTAAGGCTTCGCAGCAGCCTGAGTGCGATTAGGAGGACTGCGAGGAGGTGTAGGAGGCAAAGTGGTATTGAATGCAGTAGTGGGATCCACACTGTCCAATCCATTGAGAGCCTGCACTTGCGCCTGAGCGCTCGCGTAGGGATCTACAGCAATGCGCTGAAAATCCATCTCGAGGTCAAGAGGGAAAGAATATTGGGAAGCGGAATGAGGAGAAAAGCTGTATACAGACTCCGAATGCACAGAAAGAGAGTCGTGAACGGGTTCAGATGAGACTGTCAAAGTCGACGGGGGACCACAAGTAGGGGTGTCGGGACGTAGGTACTGGTAAACATTATTCTCTACCGTTAAAAGTTCGAAGTTGATGTCTTCCAGCCCAGCAAGGGCATCAAGATCGGACTCGAATTCATCAGGAAGGGGAGCTAGCGGGTCCGCAGAAGCATGGTACGAGAAGTCAAAAGCCTGGTGGTATTGCTGTTGTTGTTGACGTTTATACAAGTCATATTGACTTGCAGCAGCAGTATAAGCGGCAAGGTCTAAAGACATGATGTGGTCGTTGTTTAATGAACCGATTGCTGTATGTGAAGGTTCTTGGAGCTAAAACTTGTTAGAGGGGGTGTTGGTGAAAGCTGTAAAGTAAATGGCCTCCGCAGCTGTAGTTCCCACGATAAATCGATCAGTGATCAATTATCGCAAATTTCTGTGATTTGTGTATTAAATGGTTAAATTGCGGTAAAAATTGTGCGACAACTTCCCAGAAGGAAAATAATCCATGCAGGTTTAACATTATTTCAAAAATTTAAGCGGAACTTTATGAATATGCACGATCTTGGATTGACGGCCGCCGGAAGACTCGGCCCGCCGAGGCAGCAAAAAAAAGGTAGATTCTATTCATAGCCCACCGCGAGGGTCGAACTCGCAGCCTTCAGATCAAGACTCCCGCCTTAAAAGTCTGACGCTCTATCCGATTGAGCTAGGCGGGCGGTAATTTTATTTCTTGTTCGCGAGATTACATGGCGTTACGACCATTACACAACATACAATTGCAACAAACTACAAAACGTTATACTCCCACCCTGAAAACAAATGATTCAGTGACCGACTTTGAACAAAAGAAAACAAAGAACTCACCGATGAACAACCTTTTTCTGATTTGAGAATCGAATAATTTCTCTCTTCTCCATGATGAACAGTGTTCTCTCTAGCGCATGGCTAGAGCATCCCTGCTGCGTGACAAACTCCTTCACAAGACTCTGATAACTAGTGCTCCACCCCACAGGTAACCGTCTCCTCATCTCCTTTTCAATCCGAGTCATCTCCTCATTCAATTCTCCACGAGACATACCATCCGCTGAGCCAGCAGACACCGCATCCATAGTAGAGAATTTGAACAGTCGGATCGCTTCTTCGACGTGATGATTTTGTACTATCGGTGATAGAGTCATCTTTGCTAGAGATTCGGATATCCGAATAATTGCTTCAAGTTGGCTGATTGGTATCGTAAGGACTGAGACAGGTATGGAAATACGGTCCTTACCGGACAGTGATCGGAATAGAACTTCGTTCATCGTTGTCCTGCTCGACTTGCTGGACCTGTTTACGAAGACTAACAAAGTGACTACTGAGCATTTCCTGCGCGTCGGGAGACAAACGTGGGGCGCATTTGCTAATCTCTCATGAGCTCATACTCATGTAACAATAATGGGAAATGTCACCTACCTCTTGCAATAAGCGATATAACGCTTCATCTTCTCCAGTGGAATTTCATCCGTTCCCCCTTCTATCGAGTCACTGGTAGGTCGATTCATATGGATATTCATGACATGCTTGGCGATCATCTAAGTAGCGCGTCAGTCGATCCATAGATTAACAAAAGAGAAGAAAGGTCACACCTTATCTCGGGTCTCGTCGTGCTCGTCTCGGACAATGAATATCATATCAAAACGCGACAATATAGTTGTTTGAAAGTCGATGTTCTACGAATAGAAGAAGATTGGTAAAATTCACGCCACATTTCTATAACGAAAGACAAACCTCGCCAGGACTTCGACCTTCGTCGTATCTCCCAAATACAGGATTAGCCGCAGCTAACACACTGGTACGTGAGTTCAGCACAGTGGTGATACCAGCCTTTGCGATAGAAATAGTTTGTTGCTCCATTGCCTCGTGAATAGCTACTCGATCCTCGTCTCGCATCTTGTCGAACTCGTCAATGCAAACAACACCAGTGTCGGCCAGCACCATGGCACCTCCTTCCAGGTAGAATTCGCGCTGGAATCAGAAGCTTTTGAGCGAGGAAAAGTCACAAAAATTCTAGAGCACATACCGAAGCACTATCTCTCTGAACAGAGGCTGTTAAACCAGCTGCACTGGATCCTTTCCCAGAAGTATAAACGGCAATAGGCGCAACCTTTTCAACGAATTTGAGCAGCTGACTTTTCGCCGTACCGGGGTCACCAAGCAATAGGACATTGATATCGCCTCGTAATCTCATTCCGTCAGGCAACACTTTCTTCGAGCCACCAAACAAAAGACACGCAATAGCTTTCTTGATATCTGAGGGTCGTCATGAGGACTTTTCTCTCTCAACTTGTACTCGAGTGACACTGACCAAGACTGCCATAAATACTAGGACCAACACTCTTGGAAAATCGCTCATAAAACTCAGGACTACGAGCCATTTCACCGAATTCTTCCTCCTCTTCAGCGCTAAATTGCACGCCAAACGGATTTGAGCCAGATGACCCTCCACTAGCAGGTGAAGAGAGTTCCAGGTGGACCACTCGCAGATAGGCTTTATGTGTTGCGGCGCTGTCCATTTTCTAGCATACGAAGTGGGTTCTTGCATGCTGTAAATAATTCAAGACACGTACGTTCTTGGATTGGAATGTAGAATAGATTCCGGTAGCAATAACCCTTGAACCTGGAACGACTTTCCCAGTTAGATGTCTGTCCGCAGAAAGCAACATATGTCGTGGAAGTTCTCCGACTGGGACCATATCTGGAGCTTCTTGTAATTTCAGTGTTTGCTGGTCGGTGAATGTTGATCGGGTGTGGATGATTTGATACGGGTCTAACGGGCATTCCTTTTTGTCGCCATTTGGAGGAGAAGGGCCTTCACAGATACGGGGAATTCCTCTGTCAGACCCACTGCCCATACCACCCAAGCCGCCTTGCGGAAAGATTGTTTTAATGTGATGACAAGACCGACATTCTAGGTGAAGTTTTGTTGCGCGCGAAGACAATATAGATGCAGCTATGACAATGCCCGGTACCCGAACGAGTTTGTTCATGGTGTCGGCGGTCAGACCGCGAAATTGTAGAAGATTGAGACTAGACTTGAGGGTGATTTGAACTTTAGGTATCGCTTCTTTAGCAGCTTCTGTAAGTTCCTCAGAGGTACCGAATCTGGGGAAAAGGATTGAACGAGCAAGTCGCGCAGCGGCGTTTTCAAACTAAAAGCCACGAGAATCCATGAGAGATTTGAAAGACTGGACGCGTTAGTAGACGCACCAAAGGCAGCACATCCGCCGGTCTATCCTGTATCGCGTGTGCCAGCTCGTCATTGTAAAGACTCACGTGTCGAAGGTCCACTTCAAGCAAATGCAGCTTCAAGAGAAGATTTGCCCGGAGTTTGTCTCTGTTGAGTCGCATCGGTTTGTAGTTTTACGCGTACGTAGCATCACTTCGCACCTGTATATGAATTCTCCGCCAACTCGATACTGCTGGAGGAAATCTAACAGCAGTTTCTCGGCTGCTGCGGGTGTGTCAGGAGCAGAAGCTGGTGCGGTATCAAGCACAGAGACGGAGTATACATTGTCAGGTTCGAACATTATCAAAGTAGATGAAGAAGGGATAAGAATGAAAGATTCAAGCGTGCAAGCATCAGTGGCGGTGCCGCTTTAGGGCAGGCGGATTGGTGGTTGAGGAGTTGAAATAATATCATTATCATCTCTACGACCATAACCCATGGTTATCCATGTCGAAAGAAATCTTCCCTTGGACTCAATATTCTTTCAAGTCCGATAAGCCATCCAAATCACAATTCAGAAATAAAACCAAGAAATTGCTGGGTTTTTTTCTAAAGGTCTAATCATCATTCCCTTCGACGAACGTGGATTTATCTCGGCGGGCGGGACTCTGCACCTATGATGGATCGTAGCGGGTACCCCTACCAATTCCTCGTCGTGTTTCCCTCAAGTCCTAGCTGACGAACGAATTTTCTCGAATATTCTAATAATCTTGTAAGGCACCATTGCGCTTGGGCATCACTGGAGATCCGATATCTACTACAGACGTTTTGTTTCGGGGGTTGCGTCCACGGCCAGTTCTACGCATGCCTAGCCGCCATGCATATGGACTCGAACTTCTCCACAAAGTCTTTTCGGTTGTTGCCTTTCTACATATTGTGTGCGATCGAAGTCTTCAACACGGAACCTGCGAGCATGATCTCACTGTCACTACTAGTTCTCCTCATGCAAAAAATGCGGCCACAGTTCGAAGAGTGGCCTTCTCTTCTAGATATCTAGTTATCCATAACACTGCTCTTCGGTAGTAACAGGTGACTCTATATCAATTTGCAATGAACTGTTCACGATGTAGGATGAAAAACGGCTACCTGTCTCTCGACATTGATGTGCTTGCGTCCTGAGAAGTCCGTCATAATTCCACCACTGTACTCCCCTCGGGGCCACAATTTCTACATTCTGGTTCATCTGCGTTACTTGTAGCACGACGCAGAACGTCGTAGATGAATATCTTGTAAACTTCAACTTGCTAAATCAACGTACGCCATCGCCTACATTGTCACGTGCGATTGATTCTTTTGCCAACCATCCACCACAATGAACGCAATGGATACTGATCACGAAGAAGTATCGGCAGTACTACCTTCAACGACAACTTCAGGGCTCTCTATTGCACTGTTAGCTCCCATCTCTATCTTTCCTGGTGCTTGCATCGCTCATGATTCTGATAGACATCCGCTTCCTATCCTCAATATCTCCGAGCATTTCATAAGGTTAAAACTTCAAAAGCAGACACCTTTGCCATTCAGTGAGTCTTCTACAAGCTGTGTGGCGCCTCTCATTTTGCTCCAGCTCTCGGCGCGCTTTTGGGGACACAGAACGGGCGTGAAGTTGAGATTGTAAATACTTTTGAATTGGTTTTGGAAGATGATGATGAGGCGATCAACCATGCTTTCCTCGTGAATAGACGAGATCAATGTATGTATGTATCATACTCCATGTGAAGCATACACTAACCTTATGCTGCACAGATAAACAAGTCTTTCCATCCTTAGAATTCATTGGGTGGTATACAGTGGCCCCAATTCCTACTTCCCGACACATTAGACTGCATTCACAAGTATCGATCTCGGAATCCTTCTACCTGACTCCCATGTACTGACTAGATCGTCCAGTTTACCGGTTACTGCTCCACGCCACTCTTGCTCATTCTACAACCAACCACAAACCTCCTCGGAAGCGCCGATGGAACCAGCCAAAATCTTCCTTTCAAAGCCTACGAGCAGACGATTGAAATAAAAGATCGCTCATCAAGATCGGTCTTTGTCGAGGCTTCTTTCAATGTTGAAACTGGAGAAGCAGAACGTATTGCTGTTGATTGGACTGCCAAGGGTGGAGGTAGTGGGACAAGTTGTGCGTGTCTTATTGCCTTGCCTCTCAACGTGTCTTCGTGTGTATCCAGACTCATCTAGCTCCTTAGTAGAATCACATCTCCAAACGCAGCGTGCCGCTGTCAAAATGTTATACGACAGGATCTTGGTATTAATCCAATATGTTACAGGTGTCATTGCAGGTACGATCGGGTCACTCAAGTTAGTTCTAACGCCAACATTCCAGGTACTCATATACCTTCTACCAGCTGAAGTTCCTACCGATCACGGCATTCTTCGCTCTATTTCAGCCTTACTTGCATCCCTGCCTGCCAGTGAAAATAAAACATTTCGGGAAGAATTTAA